GGCCCAGAGTTCAAGCCCCACGACTGACAAAAAAAGTATATATTCAGGTACACATTGCTTATCACATTATCAGGTACACATTGCTTATCAGATATATGGTTTACAAAAATTAATCACTGGGTTTTCAGTTTCTTTTTTGTTATTATTGTTTTGTTTTGAGGAGTTGAGGGTTTTTTTAACTTTCTTGATGTAAATGTTGGTGATATCCAGCATATCTGTGTTTTATTTTGCTATTTGTGCTTCTGCTGTTGTATATAAAACCTATAAGTAAGTTCACAAGGAGGAACTTCTATTTTACTTCTAACTGTTTTATAGTTAATGGAACTTTTACATTTTAATCTTGGATCCATTTTATGCTGACTTTGGTATATTATAAAAGGCAACAGCCCAGTTCATTGTATCATTTATTGTAAAGACTTTTCTTCCTCCCAGTAAATTCTCTAGGTATGGAAAGCTAATTTCTTTTTTTTTTCTTTTTCTGTTTTTTTTAATTTATTTTTTTAACATTTTAATAAGTTTTTTAATAAGTTTTTTATTGTGAAAATACTGTACAGAGGGGTTACAGTTACGTGAACAAGGTAATGAATACATTTCTTATCAAGAATTGTTGCCTCCTCCTTTGTTTTTCCCCTATCATCCCTTCCCTCCCACTTCCACAACCACACTTGCCCCCCCCTAAATTATAAAGTTTGCTTTCCAACATAGTGTCTTGTGCATCTCATTGTTGCAATGAGTCACCTGATTCCCTCTAATAGTTTGGTCCTTTTGCTGTATATTTCCCTTTGTTATGTTATTTTTTTTGTTACAGTCAACTTTCTAAAGCTATAGCAAGATACTTGAGACTGAGTAACTGATAAAGAACAACAGTTTTGTGTTTCTTATATGTCTGAAGGCTGGGGGATCCAGTATCAAGATTCTGGCCTCTGGTGAAGACCTTCTTGCTGTGTCATTCCATAGCTGAAGGTAGAAGGAAAAAGCACAGGAAAGAATGAGAACATAGGCAGGAGCTGATCTCAACTTTTTTTGGGGGGGGTCCGGTCGTGGGGCCTGAACTCTGGGCCTGGGTGCTGTCCCTCAGCTCTTCAGCTCAAGGTTAGCGCTCTACCACTTGAGCGACAGCACCACTTCTGGCTTTTTTCTTTTTGCTTATGTGGTGCTGAGGAATCGAACCTAGGGCCTCAGGCATGCAAGGCAAGCACTCTACCACTGAGCCAATTTCCCAGCCCCATGATCTCAACTTTTTAGCAAGCACACTTCAAGTTATCAGCATACCATCAAGGCACTGACGAGGTCAGAACTCTCATTATATTCCTCCATCTCATTAAGCTCCACTTCCCACCCTGCTAAATTGGGAATTAGGTATCCAGCAGCACATGAACTTTGGGGACATGTTCCAACCATAGAAACTATCATTCACCTGTGTCTTGGTACTTTAAGTTTCTGAAATTTGAATCTAGGACTTTGGACCAATCAAGTTCTAAGTCTGTCTACATTCTAACAGTACAGTATGTTTATATCACTTGGAGTTTCTCCAATTATTCAACAGCACAAACTATCTCCAATGAATCAGCAAAATGCTAGAGTGAAAGTGTGTTTCCCAAGCTATAGAACACCTGCCGTGAATAAGAACAGGGAGTGAGAGGATGTTATCATCACACACACACACACACACACACACACACACACACACACCACACATAATTATAATAATAAAACTTGAGAAAATGTAATGAATAGTGATTAACATTTTAGGTATAATTTTGTACAAAGTTAGAACTAGTTTTTATTCCCTATCAGAGCATGACGGTATTTGACTTATAAGTAATCAACTTCTTATTCCTAATGACCCCTCAAGTAAAGTTCAGTTTTGGTTACTTACAAAGCATAGTTATCTGAACAAAGTTCCAGAAATGGCCAGTTTTCTACAGGACAGCATGTCTATATATGACCCTCCTCACGATGTATCAGCAACACTGAGATCATGGGTCATTCATACAGGAAATGAAACATATTTTTTCATACAGAAAAGACCATATGCATATGATATAGCCATATATTTTCCCCCAAGTTATAGCTCTAGCTTTCATTCCTGACTGCTAGAAATCACACCCATTTTTATCATTTTAGAAGCTGGATTGGAGTCAGATAGTGCAGTCATCTGCACCTGCTTGGTTTTAGAGCTTTCAGATCTTCTCACCTTCCATTGTATGAGAAGTGCACTCTGCCAACCCCTGGCAGGGAATCCTAGCAACATGACCCTGTCACAGAATCTGCAGTAGAAGTCAGTTGTCAGCAAGATCATTTAAAATTGTTCAGTGCAGCTCCTATGACTACACTACTGATAAATTTACAAGGAAGAGTGCTACTCAAGGACAGCTTCTCCAAGAACTACTTAAAAACATCACTATCCACAAAATACAGTCTGAATACCTTACAAGTGCAAAGTGTTAGGCCAGAGTATTGTTTTACAAAAGCACCAACTAGAAGCTAGCCAGCAGTGCAACAAGATGGCCAACACCTAAGCCCAATAGATAAGCAGCAACATTGAAAGCAGGCATTGAAAGAGTCATCCCAAAGTCTAGGATGTCCAACATTGTTGAAGTAGATTTTGAATAGAAGTTGGGTCTATAGAAATGAACAAGACACTTATTTCCAGGTAAGAATGCTTATCACATAATAGATGGAGGAACGGAAAGACTGATTTGATCACAGTAAAGCATCTCATTGAGAATGGGTGCATGGAGACTAAAGCTATTAGATGTGGGTCTGAAATGTCATGCTAAGGAAATGTTTTCTTTGCCTCCTAAGAAGCCTTCTCCACAAATGGTGTTAAGAGTCTCCATATGCCCACTTCTATAATTAGGACATTTTCTCTTTAATTTCTTCACAAAATTTATGAACTTTTCTGCACAGGCTGGCTAGGAACTGCAATATTTCATTTATTTTTAATTTTTTATTGTGAAAATATTGTACAGAGGGGTTACAATTACATGGGCAAGATAATGAGTACATTTCTTATCAAGCATTGTTGCCTCCTCCTTTGTTTCCCCTTCCCATCCCTTCCAATCCCTTCCCATCTTCCCCCCCCCAACCCCTTCCCGCCATCCCCCCTCCCCCGCCCAGCCAAAGTTGTAAAGTTCGTTAAGGAACTGCAATATTTCATGTCTCTGCTTCCTGAGCAGTTAGAATTACAGGCATGAACTACCTGTTCCTAGAACCATTTGCCATTATTTTTAAAGCTTCAAAAATTTATTTGCTGTACTTAGCCTCTTAATTTGTTTTAGACACATGTTCATCAAGTCTTGGAAAGCCTGTTTCATTCCAGGAGCACTTGGGTCTTAGAAGGAATTAAATAGCCAGTAATGGTAGTCTAATAAATTCACTTTTTTACTTGGCCATACTTTTAAATCATGATCATCATCTTTGAGTACTCCTCTAACCTGAGATATCCCATGAGCACTGGGAATACATTTCCTTTGTTCTAATCCCAGCCTCTGAATGAAAGCCATGTATAGTGGGTTCCTCATAAATATGTATTTACCGCCTGAGTGGCTATAAATGTAGGACAGTGTTCTGATTAGCAAATGCTACCTGCAGGAAGCAGAGGAAATAGCATAAAAGGAGACAAGATGCTATTAGCAGATTTTGTTTCATCTTTTTTTCCTGAGGCCTGACTTATAATCAACTCTCTCAGATCAAACCTCTCCAACATCTTTCCCTTCAGGATCTGAAAGGGGCACAAATAAAAGGTCTCCATGGTAGCGCTCCTCCACTGGGTGCCAAGAGGAAGAGTTCAAGATGAAGGGAGAAGCTAATGTCCTATAATCTAGTTTATTCCTTTCTTGGAAGTTCAGCAGCTCAACAGAATCTACACAAAACCTCACATCCCATCTCAAATGTGCAAATGAGTTACAACCACAATACTGTCCTTGTGCTGTCTACAACTTGTTAGCAGAGATCTAGTTATATAAAACAAAAGGAAAGCAGGCTGCAATAGTCCCTGAGACATGGCACACTGCGTGTACCATCTTTATGGATTTTCATACCAACACTCCACACTCCCTTCAAGAATAAAGCGACTGCACCCAAGTCCGTTGGTGAACTACTTGGGCCAATCAGCAGAGAATTTTATTGCAGTCTGAGAGCTTTATCAGGCTGCAGGTTACGCACAAGCAGAATGCACCAGCCCCACGCGGGCAGGCCCAGAGGCACGGCAAGTCCCCCCGGAAGGGAAGGGCATCTGCTCTGGAGACCTCCATCTCCCCGCCTGTTGCTGCTGGCAGCAACCAGGGGGACAAATGCTGGCTCAGGCTTTGAGTCAAGCAGGGCGTTCAAAGGCTAGAACTGCAGGCCGACGGCGAATCAACAGTCCCCTTCCCAGCTAGGACCTAACCCTAAGCCTTGCAGACCCCTACGCCACCACCTTCCCCCTCAGCTCCAACACCCCTTTACAGAAGGCAGGCTTCTCCACTGCAGGGGCGGGGGTGGTGCGAGGGGACTCGTGAGCCTACCACCGCCGGCGCACCTCGCTCCCTCTGCTCAACATTTTCAGGGTCGTAGTAGTCATGAAGAGGGCGAAGAGGATCGCTCCCTGAAAGACCAGGAACGAGGGCACCCTGGGCTCAGGAAACTGGAAGAGATTTCTCCCCCCACCTCTCTCTGATGAGTGGTACAGTCCGCAATGGGGCGGGGCCAGGAGCCTCTCCGCGGACTCTTCCCGCCCCTCTCCCGCCGGCCACGCCCCCCGCGGCCCCGGGAGCGAGTGAGCGCGCGTCCCGCAGCCCCCGCCCCCGTGCCCGCGCCCGGCCCCGCCCCTCCGGGCCGCCCCCTCGGAGGCTGCGGGGAGAAGCCGGCCCGGCGCAGCGGACGCTACCACCTTCGCCCCGGCCGCCGCTTCCTCCTCCTCCCTGCTGCTCGGGTGCTGCTGCCCCGGGTGGGCGGCGGGCGGGACCCGGGCGGCGGCTGAGCCCTGGGTGCGGGGCGCAGCCAGGTCCCCGAGCCCGCGCGGCGACATCGGCGGCGTGACAGGTGCAGAGTCCCCGCCGAGAGCCCCCAGCGGCTGCGGCGGCGATGCCCACCATGCGGAGGACCGTGTCGGAGATCCGCTCCCGCGCGGAGGGTGAGAGGCCGCCCGCGGGGCTCGGGGGGCCGGGCGCGCGCGCGCGCGCGGGGGGCGACGCCGACCCCGCCGGGGTGGGGGGCGCGGCGCGGCGCGTGTCCGTGTCTGCGGCTGGGCTGTGTTCATCCGGGAAGGGGCCATCTCGTCCCTCCGCTTCCTTCCTGGCAGCCGCACTGCCGGGTCTCCGGCAGACCCTCTTCCCCTGCACTGCCGTCTCTGCAACTCGCAAAGCCTTTCGGGGCTCCAGAACCCCCCCCCCCCAAATTCGTGTCCTGGGAGGGAGCCCCGAGACTCCCTGCAGCGTGATCCGTGCGATCCGTATCCCAATGCATATCCCAGGTCCCTCTCCCTCCCTCTCTCCCTGCCCACCAGCGCGCAAACCGGGCTTCCACGCAGCTGCCCCAGCCCGCCCCCTCGTCCCCCCCCCCCCCCCGCCCCCCACCCCCCCCCCCCCCCCCGACTGGCAAGTCTGCCATTTGAGCCAAAACTCCACTTCGTCCCCTGCCCAGCGCGGCTCCCCCTCCTCCCCCCCCCCGACAAATCCCAGCCGGAGAGAAACAGGTTTGCCTTTCCCAAAAGGCAAGATCCTTTGATCCACGGTCTCCAGGCTGTCTGGGCGCCAGGAGCATTTCGTCGGGGTTGGGTGCAGCTCTGCCTCCCGCAGTGAGCGCAGCCTCTCCAGGCACTGGGCCGGTTTCGTTTCGCATTTCCTTTCGCCTGGAACCTACACTTTGCCCAGCTGAGCTGACTTGAGGGAGGTGGAAGCTGTTTTCTTTGCTCCACCCAGGGCCAGCTGTTGAATGACTGACTACACTTGTAGGCACTGAGCAACAGATGCCCCAAGGTGTCGATCAGGGAGCTATGGGGAAGGCTGAATACTTCATCCTGGCCCTGCAGCCTTGGGCATCCTGTCTGGTGTGTGGTGTGTGGCAGACCCTCAATGAGTATCTCTTGATTTTTGCTCATGGCCAGAGCCAAGATCATAGAGCTCTGTTTTCTTTCTTTTGGTTTTGCGATCCCATAAATCTTGTCCTTGAACCTTGCCAAGGGTAGGGTGACATGTTTTTGATAAGTAGTCTGTCTTGTCATCAGTGATTCTCACTCTGCCATCCCATCCCCACCCATCCTAAAATGGGAGACAGGTGACGAAGTGGTTAAAAATTTTTTTTAAATACATCGAAGTTAGGAGAATAACATAATGACTATATTAAGACAGGCCATTTTAGTTTTCCTCCATATTATCCACCTGTCAACATCAGGTCTCTGAATTCTGAAGTCTAGGATTTTCTCATTGCAACATGAAAGTGTTATACTGTTTTGGGGAAAAGGCTATACACAAGAGTCAAATTGACCAGGGTTGGCATTTAACACATATTTCTATCTTTGCAAAATACTGAAAATAGAAAATTACAAAGAACAGTACAGGAATTTTGCATATACAGTTGAATAGATAACATTAAAAATACACAATAAAATTAGACTTTTTTCTTGTATTCTGAGTGAAATTAATGAATTTTGATCATCACCATTTGAGCCATGGGAGCAAAGAAAATCAATAGTTGGTGATGTAGAAAATACTATTGTAATAGGATGCTGTTACTTAGTGCTTTCAAGAAACAGTGATTAATGGATCATATGTTGTGGGGAATGGAGACAAGAGAAAAAAAACCTAGACGCAATTCACAAGTACTGTATGAGTGGATTTGAAGTATTCGAAGGCTGCAGTCTCATTTTTGACTGGAATATATGATTTTTTTCAAAGCACTTTTACAACAATTACCTCATGGAATCTCACATGACTCCTTGAAGTTGGTGAAGATGGCAGAGAAATATCTGATAGTTGAGAAACTGGTTTTCGATGGTTCAGTAATTCACCCAAGGTCAGATGGCCTGTTTGGAGTAAGAACTCTGGGAAAACCAGGGTTGGTTCTGACTTAATTTCTGTGTTGCCTGCATGTCCACCACAGTGTTATTGGGCATGGTAGTGCTTGACAAATGACCCTTCCTTCCTGTATTGCTTGTTTTCAGTTTATGATGTGTTCAGCATTGTGCTTGGGGCTGTGATGAAAACAAAATAAGTAATAACTCCGTGGGCTGGTGGTGTGGCTCATTGCCTTTGCTTCCCACATGTTTGTTTGCTAAGGAATATTCTCCTTTGACAGGACCTGCTTCTTTGAAGGCCTTATATTGAACTGCAGTCTCCTAGACCTCAGTTAAGTGGATCAGAGTGGGTTCCTGACCCAAAGGCAGTCCATAGGAGACTCATTCATATGTAACCTTGTGGCTTGGCAAAAAAAAAAAATTCTCTGTGCTATTATATCTCTGTTAGGAAGCATGAAGATTAGAGACAGGATGGAAATGGAAACAAAAAGGGGTCAGAGGTGAATGGGCTGGTAATATATTGAGAATGAATGGCTGCAATAGGTCATGTAAATAATGCTGATGTAAGCAAGCAAAAACTGAGTATAAAGATATCCAAGTGAATGAAACAGCTGGACATGAACAGATGCTGAGAGTGGTAGTCAGACCTGGGTCTTCTGACTTCTGTTACAAAGCAACTTTAAAAATAATATTTTTTTTTCCTCCTTGAAGTGACAAATGAGTTTCAGTTTCTTAAATCCAGATTGGTTAGATGCATGAATGTCTTGGTTGTAAATTGTTTACCACCAAGTTGGAGAGAAAGGATTTAAATGAAATAAGAAATAAAATAATCTCGCTATTGTTAATTAAACATTGTGCTTGCTATGAATGACAGAGGTTCTGTGGGAGACCAGAACTTTAGTGCCCACATAATAGGGTATGATTTGATGAGTCCTCTTGCAGTTATTTTTCAAACTTTAAGGTCCATAAGAATTACTTGAGGACTTTGGGTAAGGCTGGAGTAGATAATCTCTCACACATTGACAGATGATGCTGGATGCTGGTCTGTTGATAACAGACCCTAAAGGATACTCTTGTCTATTTCAGTAGTTTGGGCGGTGTTTGCATGGGAAAATAGTGGCTATGAACCTGGCTTACATCAGAGTTTTTAAGGAAGTTGGCTAGAAGCAGAGGGAAAACCTAGAAGGCAGAGAATATCAGTTTGGGCAGGTAGAGATGGCTAGATTACAGAGAACTTTTGGATGCCAAAATGAAACTTTTGGAGTTGAATATTTGAACAAGATCTTAGAGTTCATTGAATTTCTTACTTGAGTTTCTCAATGCATCAAAAGTGACAGGGCTGGGTTTGGAGCCATTGTCAAGAAGGAACTGCTGAAAAGAAGTCAGATTAATTCAAGAAGTGTGGGGAATGGTATAGAAGAACAGGCACCATAGATAGTTAGGACTAAAGGAGAGAGTGAGAATGGGCAGGCAGGAGTCCCAAAATTCTGGTGCTGATGAGGCATATTTTGAGGACCTCTCCTTTATAGTCTTCAACAGATCTGGATGAGAAAGTCTGCTAATAAAGGTGAGGAAATTGAGGAGAGTTAATACAATAAGAGATGATCCTTTAAATTGTGATATTATTGTGGGACATCCAAATGAACATATCTCAGAGGTACTTAGAAATTATTCATGTGACTGGGTGCTGCCTGTAATCCCCAGCTACTCAGGAGGCTGACATCTGAGATCTGAGGATCAGTTCAAAGCTAGTCCTGGTAGGAAAGTCCATGAGATGCTTATCTCCATTTAACCACCAAAAAGCCAGACGTGGAGCCAGGCTCATGTGGTTAACTCACTAGCTTTGAGCAAAAATGCCCCGAGAACTAGCACAAAAAAGAAAGAAAAAGGGAGAAAGGAAAAAAAAAGAGAGAAAGAAAAGTTGTTTCACATATGGGAGAAATCTAAACTGGGAATCTTAAAGTCAGGGATAATAGTTGAAACTCTTAGAGATAAATTTGTCTGAGAGGCAGTGAAGTTAAAACAAGGCTTCAACTTGAGGCATGGCTCAAGTGGTAGAGTGCCCACCTAACAATCATAAGACCCTGTGTTCAAACCCTACTACTAAAACAAAGCAAAACAACTCCAGAAAGCTAGATGTTTTTGGTCTCTTTTTTCATACCCCAGCTGAATCAAGTAGGAGTGAGTACAATGTTAATAATGTAGAAAGAATTGTTTTTCCCACTTCTACACTAGTATCAGCTGTCAGCTACTCCTGCGGCACACAGCCGTCAGGAATAATGGCCCATTATTGCCCTTTGGCTTTACTGTCCTGAGTGGATGACCCATAAAGTTACAATGTGGCTGATAGATGCCAGCTATCTATATAAGATTTCCAGGCAGGTGGGATAGACTCCTATCTGGGCGAGAAGCCGGGAAATGGAGTTTTCCAGCTGAACATATTACTTAGTGAATATACAAAAGAAAGAAGGGAAATAATTAATAGGTAAATAACAGGCCCAATCATAACCAGGTACTCATATTTCCAAAAACTCTTGAATAAAATAAGTATTTTAAAGTTCATTCTTTCAAAAATGTTTTTGTTGTTGTTGTTTGGTTGTTTTCTTTTTAACTGTTTTTTTTTATCTTTTCTTTTTTTTTGGTACTGGGGATTGAACCCAGGACATTGCACTTGCTAGGCAAGCACTTGGTCACTGAGCTACATCCCAGCCCTTATTCTTTATAAACTAGTAAGCATTAAATTGTCGAAAATGAAAATGCACTTTAAAAAGTCCACCATGGTTTGTGTTTTCCTCTGCTGAATATTCTAATGTCAGAATGTAACAGTATTCAAGGTTGTTTGAAACATGTTAACTGAGAAATTTAGAACTTGTTATGAGGAACCAAATGCCAACTTGAAATGTTTACAAGTTACAATAAAATAAAAAATTAAAATAAAAAATAAAAAATGTTTACAAGTATGTATCATACTATATTTACTTAAAAGGAAACAAAGGGAGCAGGAAAAGTAATTTCTTGTTAAAGGAAAACAAAAATTAGGAGGTGATTTTAGTTGCCCAGACCAAAGATAATTAAGGACTTTCATTTGACAAGCATGTATTGTGCACCTGCTGTAACCA